GTGCATTCTATTTGATAGGTACTTTGATTTTTTCTAAACTTTGAGCGAAAATATCTCAACAATTACCTGACCAAATTCGATGAAAAATTTTTTTTATTTGAATTCTATGGATCCACAGAATTCAAATAAGAAAAAATTCATCGAATTTAGTTACCGTATTTTCGCGTAATAACGCTCATGAGCGTTATTTCGAATAATGACCCGAATTAAGCTTAATTCGGGCCAAAATTCGAAATTACACCCCTGCGCGTTATTACGCGAAAATACGGTAGGTGATTATCGATATCTTCGTTCAAAGTTTTGGTGCAGCTTTTATTTTGACAAGGTGAAATCCGCGCTGCGCGGATTTTACTAACTGGCAGCGCGGGTTTCACCCTGTCGTAAACAATTAATTAATTAATTAATTAATTATAACTCACGGATTTTTCATCAGCATTAGCCATTTTTGTGCTAAGTACGCGCATATTTTCGTCTAATTCTTGCACTAGCTTCTTCAGAGAATCGTTTTCATCTTGAGCTAATTTCAAAAGTTCATCTTTTTCTTGATATTCAGTCATCAGCCTACTTTTCTCTTGTTCTTTTTCAGTCAATTGTTTAACCATATCTTGTATTTGAACATCGGAAGTACGTTTAATTTCTATTAATTCTAATTCTACTTTTTCTTTTTCTTGCTTATAATTTTCAGATTGCTTTTTCATAACTTCTAATTTCTCTGTGATTCCATTTAAATCTTCTGCTTTATTCTTTAAAGTTTCATTCTCCCGTTTCATTTCCTTAAGACGTTTCTTTAATGATGTCACTTCTTCTTCTAATGCTTGTGAACGTTCTTCAGTCTCTTTTAGCTGACGTTCCTTTTCCTTGGTACCATGTTGTAGTGTTTCAAGCAATGATTGTGAGGAGTCGAATTCTGCTTGTTTAATTTGTAATTGATCAAACAACCCTTCTTTTTCTGTTGTCAATTTTTCAATTTGTGCGGATTTTTGTTTCAAATTTGCGGTTGCATTTTGCTCCGAAACTCGAAGAGAATCCTTGAGTCGTTCTATTTCTTCATTCATATCCTTTTTATCTTTCTCTAGAGCCTGAATTTTTGATTGAGCCTTTTTTAGTAAAGCAATCGATTTATTACGTTTGTCTTCTTCTTCGAGCTGTTGCTTTTTTAGGCTCTCAATTTCTGAATCATATTTTGATTTAGCCTCATTTAATGATTCCTGAAGATCACGTTCACGTTGTGTCGCAGATTTCAACCTTGATTCTACATCAGATAATTTTTCAAGAGCTTGGGTTTTGGCAGAATGAAGTAGTGCATTATCTGATTCGAGCACTTCATATTTTTTTTCAGTAGCAGCCAACTTCTCTTTCATTTCTCGAACTGCTTCTTTCTCATCATCCAATTCGGAACGGATCTCATTTGACTTTTTTTGAGCAATTTCCAAATCTTGTGTAAGACTCTCTTTTCCAGAAATTAGAACATCTCTTTCTTTAAGGAGCTCTTCAACCCTTTTTTCTAGTTCAGAATGTACATCACTTGATTTTTTCTGAACATTTTCCAGTTCCTGAATAAGTTCTTCAATCTTTTTTTCTAATTCTACGATCTTTGAACCTGCAAAAGATGATTCAGACTTTAAGTTCTGAGGAAGTCTATATAAAGGGTTTTAAAACCTCTCCTTTTAACAATCCGTTTCTAATATAGCATTAGACTTTCTATTGTGGAAATCTTACCTGCATACTCGTCAATCGTTTCAACTGCTGTTGATTCCAAACTTGTTTCTGTTGTGGCGGTGGGGTTTTCTAACGAAGTAACCTCGTCTCGACACTCGTCATTTGTTTCTTCCATTTTTGCTTTTGTGGTTTCGATGGCATTTTTTGCTTTTTATAAAGTTTTTTTTATTGTGATATGCAATAAATTCGTATGTGACCAATGAGAATATGACTTCCTCGAGGCTTATCAAGCATGTAGTACAGAGTAATTTCTTTTACACGTGTGCATTTCCGGAGCGTAACCCTAATTTCCCCCCATAGTTGTGATTGGACTAGCTCTTAAGACCCGGTCCTTGACCGGGTTCGAGCTCCTAATTTTTTGCTAATTCTTAGACCTTAATAATATTAGCTTTTAAATTATATTAACTTTTAGAACTGGTTATTAACTGAGTTTGAGTTTCTAATTTTTTGCTAATTCTTAGGTCTCAATATAATTAGCTCTTAAAACTTGGGTATTGCCTCAGTTCAAGTTTTTAATTTTTGCTAATTCTTAGGCCTTAATGTTTTTAACTTTTAGGCTCAATGTTATTAACTCTTAGGACCTGGTCATTGCCCGAGTTCAAGTTCCTAATTTTTTACTAATTTTTAGGTCTTAATAATATCTAAATTTTAATTTTTGCTAATTCTTAGATCTCAACAATATTAGCTTTTAAAACCCGATCATTATTCAGGTTTAAATTTTTTATTTTTTACTAATTCTTAAGCTTTAATGATATTAGTTTTTAAACTTAAATTAT